TCAACCCGCTTTCCATCTATTTGTAAAAGTTAAGAAACTACCTCCTTATTTTTTGCATAGCTGCAAATTTTGACCGGTCAAATCCGCAATTCTTCACCAGCAAATCTGATGTTGACCGTATTAAAGGCTAGGATCACTTCTTTACTTCTCAAATATGTACCACTTTTCAAAATAACCTATGGATATATATATATATATATATATATATATGGAGGTTCAAACGAGAACACCTCTATTTTACGAGAATGCGAGAACACCTTTATCACATGTGATAATACACGTGAGGGGACCTGGTGATGTGCGAATCCTACAACTTAGGACGCACCAAAGGTCGTCTGTATTCATGATTTAGTATCACACGTGATTGTCTTGATGGATTTTAGTATCACATTAGTAACTTATCACATGTGAGGGGGCTTAGTGGTGTAAGGACGACTTGGCCTGCAACCTAGCTAGATCGTGCCAAAAGTCGTCTATATCTCTAATTTAGTATCACACGTGTATAATATGTGATGAAATAATAGTATCACATGTGATTGTTTATAGTAAAATTGTGTTTTCGCGTTCCCGTAAACTCGTAAAATAAAAGTGTTCTTGTTTGAACTCTTCCATCCATATATATATATATATGGTATTTGTTTTACTTTTACAAAAAACAATTTATTTTATTATTATTAAAATATTGAACTATTTGGTTAATAATGGCATAGAAGAAACCTTTTCAATTACTTATATAGCAAATAGAGATAGAATGTAAAATCAATATCACATCATGTTTCCATACAACCAAAAAGATATAATATGTAACAGACAAGTATAGTGATGTGTATAGAATCATCCATCTCAATTAGAATGACATTAATCAAAATGGAATTGGTTCGAATTCAAAATTTTACTATTTCAAGTGGTCGATTTAAGATTCGATGACAATTTAAATTTCCTTAAATATCGATTTGATCCATTCCTTTTCGATTATATGTGTGCTTGTATGTTTGTTGCTCAATAGTTGTCGTTCAATAACATTTACAAGTAGTGTTCCAAATGAAACGTATAGCTTCGTGGTTCAAAATATTTGATAATCCAATCCAATAAATAACCCATAGTTATCTATACTATATTATAAAGCATTTGACAAAAACTCTTAAAAACCACTTTTTATGCGTAAAATACTGTTTATTAATGCATATTACTTAAAACTCAAGATTACAAGTAGATTGTGCGTAAGTACAACTTATTAAARCTYCATATCTGAATTCGTGTAACTAATTGCAGATAAACATAATCAAATAAATGATAAACATCTCATTTTAAATATAAAAAATCTAAAATATAATTAGAATAATAATTGAGTTCTAACAAAATACTTAACTATTAAACCAAAAATAAATTATTTCGTTATTAAACTTAAATTAAATTATAATAAAAAAATAAATTAAAGAAATTACATAAAAAATTACAACTTTTAAATAGTTGATTTGATATTAACATTGATATATTTTTTTTCTTCAAATTTTTATGATATCTTCATATTTATATTTTATTCAAAAATAAAATCATTATTGCTTTCTTAAAAACACATAAAATCGTATTATAACATCGACAGAGACAAATAATAAAATAGAACATTAAAATCGAGATGTATCTCGCTGCATTGCGCGAGTACTCTTCTAGTATTCAATAAATGGAACTGCTCCAATCTGTTTATTCCTTGAATTTTAGATTATTAGTCATATCGGTTGTTCAAAGCTTATTGGATTGATCGGTTATGAAATTTAACATCCAATTAATGATTGGATTAGATTGGTTCCATCCAAGCCCATTGGATGTGAACCAATAAAAATTCATAGTCAAATGCACAAAAACCAGCTCTTCATTTTGGTCCAAAGAGCAAAAAGAGCCCTAATCCTTACCTAATAACCAGAATCAATCTTGGCCTAACGGTCCTAACCACTCTCATGATCGGTTTTGACAGGAGCCAATTTTATTTTTCTAAAAAAATTCACTGTGTTGCTTATACTAAAGCAATAATCAGTTACTCAGTTTTAAAAACTGACCCTTGTAAGGGTGTTGACCGGGCTTTGATGGGATCAGACATCTGGTCCTTAACCGGTCTTTTACTTGACCAACTCTAAACCGATTCAAATAATAGACATTGTTTTAGACCCAAAGGACTACTTGGTCTCGTGTACAGTCCTTAAAAGACATTGCCACTTTTGTCTGGTTATCGGACCAACAACTAGACTATGTTCAAATTCAGATAACCAACACTTTGTGCATATTTAATATGGAAAACAAGGTTTAGCTGCTTTTATATATAAATAATTAATATATTAAATATGATTATAACAATTATATTATAATAAAAATTCAAAAAATTTAAAAGGTCAGAAACCCTTTTATACACTTCGAACGACCATTAAATCATTCAACCCTTTTTTCTCCAACTTAACATATTTTTACTCAAATAATCAAAATATATCGTCTTTCTAAAACCATACGCTAAAAAAACCGACCCCTCTACTTGTTACTTACTAAAAATTCAATAAAATCCTTGATACGTTAGAACCATACACATAAAGATGTTTTTTTGCAAACAATATATGCGACATATTCAAGTGCAGCCGTTGCCAGATTTTAAATAAATAATCCTTTTTTAGCAGTTTTCGAAAATATTGAAAAAAGTGCTTCTATTTTATTTACAAAATTATTATATTTATATATTATATAAAAACCACTAACAAAAACTTTTTATAAAAAGCACTATAAATACAATATATATATATATATATATATATATATATTAAAATATCCTTTAACTTATTTATAAAGCTTTATGTCCACTTACTCTCCCCCTATATTTTGGCTTATAGTAGTATTCATACCATAAGGAGGAAATTTGGACCACATATATTTTGCCATTATTATCATATACCAATTTGGTTTTTAAAATTATATTCCCACTTATTTTCTATTTTTAATAAATATATTATTCCAATTTTTACTTGTACATTTGATTTATTAATGAATATATTTTATTTTTATCAGACAAACTGATGTTTTAATCATTGATAAAAAAATTAATAATTAATTAATGATGGTAAATTAATAAAAATAATAATAAAAATAAAAAATAAAAAGTAAGTGGTATTGATACTGATATGGAATATAATGAAAACTAGATCCACCTATCAGACGAGTTGAGTGAATGGGGTCACCTCTCCAGCTTCTAACCTTGGAGCTAGGGTCAGATCAATCCAACATATTCTTGACCCAACCCTTCATTCAAAAGCTACCCATCTTCTATTTTACTATTCTTTTTTATCTCTTTAAAGTAATTTTTTTAAAGTTAACCCTTGTTTGTTTGATCCTCATTTTAGAAATATATATATATATATATATATATATAGGGAATGTTCAAATAAAAACCACCTAATTTATATAAATTGTGAAAACCACATTCAACCAATCATAATTTTTTGTTTTGTTCTTTTTTGTAATTATGAGAGGTTGATTAACCATTTTTATTGTGGATGGTGTTAATCATGGATATTATCGTCTTTATTATTTTAATTTTAGAGAAATACATGAAACAGTTTCATTAAAATTTTATTAAATATTATATGAAACAATTTCATAACCATATATGAAACAAATTCATCAAAAAAAGTATTATATGAAACAATTTCATGAAAAAATTTCATAAGATTAAACAATGAAATCGACGTATGAGGGTGGTTTGTACGGTTTACACAAATGAGGGCGATTTATATATATATGGTTCGGTTCACGTGAGACCAAAGGTTTTTCATGAGACTCGTAAGACCAATTTATATTCATTGATCAACTTTATAAGCTAATGATCTAATAGTCTAAAGTTATACGGTGACAATTTTGTGATTATTGAGAAGTCTCGTGACAATTTTGTGATTATGAATGTTCAGATTGTAGATCTAATCTAAGAGTTGAGAATAGTCTTACGAGTCTCACGAAAAACCTTCGGTCTCACATGATCTCAAGTATATATATATATATAGTAAGAGAGAGAGAGAAAGGGGAGTTCAACTATGAAAAAAATTCACTACGAATTAAGGGATAAAAGAGAGCATGATATGTGTCCTTAGTTGTCCACATTCATCATGAATAATGAATCTGAATTTTATGATGAATATTTATACTATTCTATTCATGATGAATAATACACTATTCATAATGAATGTATCGAACACGTGATATGTTGTTTTTTATCCACGATTCACAACAGAATTTAGGTTTTCACTTGAACTTACCTTTATATAAATATAATGTTAAAAAATATGTTTTTTTAATATGTTGTTTTTAAGATATATAATATTGAATTTGTTTTAGAAAATTATGTCATGCAAAACGATGACTAAATTAAAATACAGGTAATTTAATATTCGTTAAATATATTTAACATAAGATTTAGCCTTATTTATCTTTAAATTACAGCTAAAATCATATAAAAATGTAAATATAAATATAAATAAATCAGGCATTTTACATTTGGAAAACGATGGAAATGTATATGTGTTTGTGTGTTTTATACTTTTAAACAAAGATGGCCAAACGGGTTCGGTCCGGTCCGGCCTGGGACTGGCAGATGACGGGACCGACTTGGGACCAGTTACATTTTTCATCAAAAAATAAGGCTCGTCCTGGCCCGACCAAGGACCGGTTTGGGGTTGGTTATGGGCTGGTCCATTTTTTCAAAAACATTATTATTTTATTATCGATATCCAACGGCCATATAACTATTTTTCCCATTTTACCCTTTTTGTCTTATTACCCTCTCTTCATTATATATAAGTTTGTATTGGAGAAGATATCAGCTCACACACATTCACAATTTTAATACAAAATATTTAATTATCAATTAAAATTTAAAAATACATCATTCTCCATGGATGTTGAATTACCCATGAATATGAAACCTTATCATAAAATTCCACATTCCACCCACAAACAATTGAAAAACATCACTATAAATAACCTCCACCAAACCTAATTTTCAATTCAACTCCAACCAAGATCAAGGCTTTACTTCTAGAGAGAGAAAGCTAGAGAGAGAAAGAGAGAGAATGGGGCAAGACGACGAAACGATGCGAAAGGGTCCGTGGACGGAACACGAAGATTTGCAATTGATACTTTATGTTCGTATGTTCGGAGATCGCCGATGGGACTTCATTGCAAATGTTTCAGGTTTGAAGGTGGCGGGAGTAAAAAAAAAAGCAAACTATAGGTCCTTAGGCTGCAAATTTATCTACAAGGAAAAAAATATATGGAAATAATTTTGTTTTTATCTGCAAAAACATATTAACGTTTTCTTCTGTTTATACCCCCCAAAAAAAATTTGGGGATTATTTTCTGTTCGGATTTTTGATTCTCAGGTTTAAAACGAACTGGAAAAAGTTGCCGACTGAGATGGGTTAATTATCTGCATCCGGGTCTTAAAAGAGGAAAGATGGCTCCTCATGAAGAACGACTTGTTCTTGAACTTCATTCTAAATTTGGCAATAGGTTAGATCCGTTTATTATTTTTCATATGTATTATTATCATTTTTTTATTTGAAGTTTTAGAGCGAGAAAAATAAACACACCCATTATTTTCTAAAATTAAAGAAAAAAGGCAACTCATAAAATGACATTGCTTTAAATCTCGTTACTGTGGTTTCTCGACAGATGGATGACTATTGATTGTGTGTCTTTGAATCTGTGTAAGAGACGTATAAATGGTAACTTTTGCTTCAACATCTGCTCTTTTTTATGTTGATGAAATCATAAACAGTTTTAATTGAGAAAAAACATTTTCAAGAATTATTTTTGTATACCCTGTAAAATTAAAGATTAATAGCATGAATCTAGTCTCTCCAACGTTTATTGGATCGGAGTTTGCAGTTTTTTCTTAATCAAAATGATCTCTGGATTGATCAGAAGATCCTTTCATTTGGCTGGTTTCAAGATTGTATAGTTTAATGAATAAAAATTCAATTAATCCTGCATCTTTTATGAAGTTTCGATAGAAGGATTGAATCCGTGGGCAGGCAAGACGACCTTTTTATTTTGCGAAAATGCTCCATTTTCATAAGATCTTCTTGACTCTTATTCAAAAGGTCCAACATAGGTTAAGGTTTCGTTTAGTTTGCAGGAATGGAATGGATTTGCATTTCAAATTTATTTCAATCCCATATTTGGTTTGTTGGATTGTTCTGATTTGAAATCATAAAATTTAATTGGAATCCTTCAAACATAGGATTTTGAAATCCTTAGGGAGTGCTCGAGATTTCACATGATTTCCTAGGATTGTATGCAACAGGGGATTTAAAAATGTTAAAAATACTTATTTTGTAATAATCAATTAATAAAAATGTAATTCAATTATTTATAAATTGTATATAAATAATGAAATTCAATTTTATTTCAAATCCTACAAACCAAGCACATCAATGATTTTAAATCTATTTCAATCCAAATTCCTTCATGAAATCCAAATCCCTCAACAATCATGCAAACCAAACAGATTAAGTATTTTTGAAAATATGGATGTCTAAAATTGTATATCATTTAAAAATATTTATAACTTTGTGAACAATAATTTCGAATCTAAACATGTATTTTTTAGAAATACATTTGTAATGATCATAATTTGTATTTTAGCAGGAAAATTTTATGAAAAAAATATTGCAATTTTGAAAAAAATAATAATATAAATTGTATGTGGTTTAAAAAGTAAAATGAAATGTGATGATAAAATATTTGTGGAATAAAATATTATATTTTAATTTAAAATTATCATAAAGTGACTATTATGTATCTTTCTTTGTTAATGGATGTCTCATTCTCTAAACAACTTTTGGATACACATTTTTATATTTTTGAATCACGTTACCATTTTTGTAATCATATAAATACAAAATGTAGTGTTTCTTCTTTATTTTGTTTGTTTAATTTTACTTTTATTTCATGAACTTGTAAAGTCATCCATGATTCTATTATTCTCAACTCTCAAGGTTTTAAATATAGGTTCTTTAGTTAATTATATATATATATATATATATATATATATATGTATGTATGTATGTATGTATGTATGTATGTATGTATGTATAGGTGGAGGTTTAAACGAGGACACCTTTATTTTACGAGAATGCGAGAACACCCTTATTACATGTGATAATATGTGTGAGGGGACCCTGTGATGTGCGGACAACGTGTTCTACGACTTAGGTTGCACTAAAGGTTGTTTGTGTCTATGATTTAGCATCACATGTGATGGTCTTGATGAATTATAATGTCATATCAACAACAACCTTATCACATGTGATAATATTTGTGATGGGGCTTAGTGATGTAAGGGCGACTTGGCCCACAACCAAGATCACACCCAAAATCATTCGTGTCTCTGATTTAGTATCACATGTGTATCATATGTGATGAAATAATAATATCACATGTGATTGTCTATAATAAAAGGGTGTTCTTGCGTTCTCGTAAAATGAAATTGTTCTCGTTTGAACCCTTCCCTGTATGTGTGTGTGTATATATAGACATATTTCAAATAATCTAAATGGATATAGATATTAGAATGAGTAGATACTAATTGGCAACATCATTAAGTTTAACTTGAGTGTTCAAATGTTTAATCTTTAAAGTTTTCAGGTGGTCAAGGATTGCAAGGAAATTGCCTGGACGAACGGATAACGAGATCAAAAATTATTGGAGAACTCATATGCGGAAAAAAGCTCAAGAGAAGAAAAAGACTACGTCTCGATCTCAATCTCCATCTCTCTCATATTGCTCTTCCTCTTCTTCGATTTGTACCAACAATCCTGTTGTTGATTCCATGCCGATGATTGAGACAAAAGAGAGAAGCTTTTATGACACTGGGGGAGTCGAAATGTTTACAATCATGAAAGGCAAAAACAATAGCAATAACAATAGTTTCAAGACTCCTACTACTAGGTTTAGCGAATCTACCGATGGACAAGAGGGGCATTACTCAATGGATGAAATATGGAAGGATATAGACTTATTAGATGATAGTATAAAGCCGGTTTTTGACCCCTATAGCGAACTAACAGCTTCACTGACGTGGGATTCTTGTCTGAGCACTTCGTGGACGATGGATGGCCAAGAAGAGTTTGGTAAAAGCATGTTTTCTCTAACAAGCAAAGAATTTAGCTCAAGATTAACCGACTAAATGTGTTATTTAATTTATTGATTTGGTGTTGACAGATGCAATAATTATCACTAAGGCACTCTCTAGTTATATCTCTTTAGAGTTTGATCAAGGTCAAATATTTTTTCAAAGCTAAAATGACCGAAATCTGAATATATGCGGTTATTATTTTGAATTTGGTCATTTTAACTTTCAAAAAACATTTACTTGAATAAGCAAGTTCATAGCAAATAATCTTTGTGCCAAGTACTTGTTTTATTAGAAAACCTTTGTTGTAACTCTTTATTTAAATAAGAAATTATGTTACTTTCACTATTCTTTATGTCTCCCTTTATAGCTTATCTTCCAATCGCTTCTCATTTTAATTTACTGTATTTTCTGTAACAGGTCATTTTCACTGGTTATCGATCTCTTATACATTTAAACCACCTTGGTTATATTGTCTGAAAATGAATATAAACACCTACCCTTTATCCGAGGCTCTTTAGTTCTTCGTTCAAAAGCCTGTCAACCATACCCTTTCTTGAAATTACAAATCTTGCCCGTTCTTCTCACGATTAATCATAAGTTTGTAACCATTTAGTAAAATAAAGATTTTGAACAGAATGTTAGGGTTTTCAGGGTTTAATACTGAACAAACTTAGCTCGTAGATTCATGACGCATGATGAAACCAAGTTTGATGAATCGGGTTGTAAGCACTTACACCCTAAAGACTGTATAGAATATACTTTGATGGTCCGAAGATTTGCTCCTTTTCTCTGAGTTGAAGTTATCAAATGCAAAACAATAGTAATTAAATTACATGTTGGCCATTACAAAACTTTTATGGTGTGAATCCACTAAATGACATTGCAACCCAAGCTTTTTGGCTTGTTATTAGGAGTGTAGTGGAATGATTAGTAGGATTTTGGGTGTAGCAAGTTTTATCATTACAACTATGCATGGTTTGATTTTGTTTAATTTAAACAATAATGCTATGTGATACACATGATGATGAGAAACTTGGTTTACTTTATAATATGCAAGACCCCATGTTCTTAAAATACATGTCACTTTAATGTACATTAATTATATACTAGAAAGGTACTCGTATAATATAGCGAGATACATCTTGATTTTAATATTTTATTTTATTATTTATCTCAGTCGGTGTTATAATATGGTTTTATGTGATTTTGAAAAAATGATGATGTTTTTATTTTTTGAGTAAAATATAAATTTGAAGATATTATAAAATTTTGACAAAAGTATATCGATATTAATACCAAATTAACTATTTAAAATTCCTCATTTTTTGTATAACTTTTTTAATTCAGTTTTTATTATAATTTAATTTAGGTTCAATAATGAATTAATTTATATTTAGCTTAAAAGTATAATTTTATTATAAAGATAATAATTAATTATTTTGTTAGAACTCGATAATTATTCTAATTATATTTTAGATTTTTTATGTATTAAAATGAGATGTTTATTCTCTATTTGATTATGTTTATCTACATTAATTTACACGAATTGAAATATGGAACTTTAATAAGTTGTATTTATGCATAATTTACTTGTAATTTTGAATTTTAAGTAACATGCATCAATATACAGTACTTCATGCATAAAAAAATGGGTTTTAAAAGTTTTTGTCAAATATTTTGTAATATAGTATAAAGGGTTGGGTTCACGTAAGACCAAGAGTTTTTCGTGAGACCCGTAAGTCCAATTTATGTTCATTGATCAACTTCATAAACTAATGATCTAATGATCTAAAGTTGCATGGTGGCAATTTCGTGATTATTGAGAAGTTTCGTGGCAATTTTGTGATTATGAATGTTCAGATTGTAGATTTAATCTAAGAGTTGAGAATTGGTCTTATGGGTCTCATGAAAAACTATTGGTCTCACATGATCCCAAGTCATAGTATATATATATATATATATATATATATATATATATACACACACACATGTATATATAGGATCATGTTCAAGGGAAAATAATAAAAATAAAATATTAAGGAATACTCTAGTAATCATTCATTATACGGTATGCATATGTGCATACAAATAATTTGTTCGATATGCACATGTGAATCATAGAAACCAATAAACATATTAATTACTTGTATGCACATATGTCATACCGTACAAATGAATGGTTATTGAGGTGTTTTCCAAAAAAAATTTGAAGGTTTTCCCTTTGAACCTCACTCTATGTAGGGGGGGGGGGGGTGTGTGTTTTGTATGTATGTGTCTGTAGGGGTTAAATCAAATGAGAACCACAAAAAAGTTACAAATCCCATGAGAACCGATTTAAAAATAAACTTTTATATGATTTTTTCATCAAATGTCAGGATATAAGATATTGTTTCACATATATTTGTTTCATAATCTGATGGTTTCTTATGTATTTGTTTCACAGTATGAATACGTTTATGTGTATTTTTCGTTTCATTAAGTGAATAGAAAATATATATGTTGGAACATAGAGAAAAATACAATTATTTCAATTTTATATATATATATATATATATATATATATACTTGGGATCATGTAGGACCAATGGTTTTTCGTGAGACCCGTAAGACCAATTCTCAACCATTGGATTAGATTTATAATCTAAGCATTCATAAACGCCACGAGATTTCTCATTAATCACAAAATTGCCACCGTGCAATTTAGACCGTTAGATCATTAACTTATAATGTTGATCAATAAACATAAATTGATCTTACGAGTCTCACGAAAAACCTTGGGTCTCACAAACAAAAAACTTTATTTTTCTTCATTTCTCATTTTTTTTCTTTCATTCCCAAATTCGAAAACCTAATATAAAAGCTTAAAATGATGTTAATCTTCTCAAATTCGAAAACATAATATAAAGTTTAAAATGGTATTAATCTTCCCAAATTCAAAAGCATGATAAAGTTTAAAATGATGTTAATATTCCCAAATTCGAAAACATAATATACAAGTTTAAAATGGTGTTAAAAAACATTAACATGAGATGACATGGAAAACCAACATATTTACATTGATTTACATAGTGTCACTCAGAAATCAGAATAATCGACTTTGTGACCCCAAATGATGTCATTCTATGTACCAAAAGTATATCATATGATGTTTTTTATGACGAAACAAATCAACGATACTACAAAAAAATGTTCTAGTAGATAATATTGATTTAGAAATGAGTATTGATTGATTTTGCATTCAGGAATACTCGGAAAAAAACGGTTTTATATGAATTCAATGTTATTTTTTATTATAAAAACAATATATTGAAAAAATATTGTACTTATCGAGGTCCCCCTTTACATCTCGCCCAGGGTCTAAAAATTGTCAGGAACGAACCTGCGGGTAGCCCGAAGTCACAGTATTTGTTTTTGGTTATGAAAAGGTTGATGTATGTTAGTTTTGTGATATATATTGTTGTATGTGATATTTCATGCCATGAAATGAAATATGTGCATTATGGCACTGATTAGAGGGATGAGGAGGCCATCACATATACCATAATATGATGGTCAACTTGCTTGTCAGATAATGATACACTCATTGAGTGGAATGCAGGTTTATTTGCCAATGAAAATGAAATGAATGCAAACATATACCATAATATGCATCAAATGTTATTTGTGTTTTGATGTGTAAATGGTATGAAAATTTGAGTTGATATTACTCGATGTGTGTGTGTGTATATATATATATATATATATATATAGAGTTGGGATCATGTGAGACTAATGGTTTTTCGTGAGACCCGTAAGACCAATTCTCAACCCTTGGATTAGATTTACAATCGTCAGATCTGAACATTTATAAACGTCACGAGACTTCTCACTAATTACGAAATTGCCACCTTGCAACTTTGCAACCATTAGATCATTAATTCATAAATTTGATCAATGAACATAAATTGGTCTTACGGGTCTCAC